GGAAAACTATTGCTTTATTCACTCTAAGAGGTAGTGTAAGTTCTTTCTTTTTCCTTTTTCCTTTCCCTTCCCCTTCCTTCCTGTCTTGAAACATATATGATACATGGAACTCTGGCAACCATGATGTATCTAAGCATCTGCAGGTTGATGAAGAAAGCCGAGCAACATTAAATTGCCCACTCTGACATCTAATTGCTGAGCAAAAGCCAGCAGACATCTACTGACTTCCAATTACTCAAGAAAAAGAAAACGTATGTGTTCAAGCCACTGTGATATTGGCTACAACACTTCTCTAAGCTATCCCTTATGGATAGCTTGGGCTCATACCATAGAATGATGGAAGACTCAGGAGCCTGAGGAGATTTTGAGGGAAATCAGCCTGAATTTTCCAGTGATTATACTCATCCCCTGAAGAGATAATTAATACACACATAATGTTGCTTATTTCTCATTCATACATTTCTTACTCTCTCATTCATACACATACACAGTTTCTCTAAAGTAGTTGATGGTACAATGAGTGTGATTAGAAATATAAGCTGAAATAGGAAGTAGAAAATGATAAAGGCCAAACTGCTGGGTATATAATCAAAAGAATCAATGTTAGCTTCCTAGAGAGATAACTGCAACTCCATATTTATCACTATGTTATTATGTACTCATTACCTGACTTAAGTAACTGTAACCCCTCTACACATTACCTTTACAATAAAATTTATTTAAAAAAGTGGTACAGGTACATAATGGAATTTTATGTCATTGGGAAAAATTATGTCTTTTTCTGGAAAATAGAACTGGAAATCATCATGCTAATGAATAAAGTAGTCAAGTATTACACGTTTTCTCTCATTTGTGGAGCTAGAAAAAAATAAACAAAACACTAAGGTCATAAAAGTAAAAGTGGGACTATGGTCCAAGATTCAAAATCTTCAGCTGCTTTTATGAACATCAAGAGATATTTTATGCTTTTCTGTTTATTTGAGAATTAGAGAATATCTCTAGTATGTCAAGGAGACAGAAAGGAAATTACTATGTTCCCTCTGCCTACCATCTTTCCACAACTTTAGCAGCCAGGCTCAACAGCAGGGAGGGTAAAATTTAGAGAGGACCTTTATGGATTGGATTGTACTTTCCCCCAAATTTACATAGTGCCTGAAACCCCAATATGATAGCATTTTTAGATAGGATACAGAAGGGATATTTAATTATGGCTAAATGAGACCACAAGGGTAGAGCCCTGATCTAATTGGATTGATGTTTTCATAAGAAGAGACATGGAGGAGGGGTGTACATACATGTATAAAGGAAAAGCCACACAGAGACAATATATGAGTCAGTAGTAAAGGAATTAGGAGGTCTGATGGTTGAGAATGATAGCTTGGATATTGATTTTAAACATAATCACATCCTGGCCTGCTGACATGAATGCAACGGCATGTCAGATACAGTAGGAGATCTTGTTTACCTGAAGCCTCCAAAGGCTACAGAAAATGAAAATCCTCCATCTGACCATCCAACGCTGAGAACTCCCTGCTCAAAATAACGACACATAGCTCAGACTCTGGAAGTTAATGGCCTATAACTCAGTTTTCCAGGACCCAATCAGAACGTGAGGTCTTAGGACCTCAGTGCAGAATTCCTCCTGGGGTCTAAGCACCTCCCTATCAAAGGGTGTGCTTTCACTTTGTTTTGGGCATTTTAAAACATATTTCTTCTTAAGCGTCCTCTGTGCCTGTCATTGAATTCCTTCTCTGATCAAAGCAAAAATCTGTGGAACCCCAACACAGTGATCCAAATCTAGTCAAAAGGGCACAGCCAGAAGGTAGCCCGCTGCCTGTCAGAATGTTTCACAAGAAACCAACCCTGTCAACAACTTGATCTTGAAATACCTTCTGGAACAGTAGTCCTTTAACTTAGCATCCAAGAGTGAATATACAGACCCTAGGGGCTACAAATTCAGGATACAAGTATGGTGAAACACAGCCTGACTCTTCCAACTAGAGTCATGTACTTCTCAGACATCTCTATGTCCATTCACTCAATTAGCTTTTGTGCTTTGATGATTTTGTATATTAAGTCCAAAGCCAAGTTAGATAAAAGTCTCCTATGACTTTGTTGCAATTAATTTTTAGCAAGTTAGAAGAAGACAGTGAAGGACCTTCTCCCTAGGAAACTGGTGAAAGTCTTGGAGTAACTTTGATCCCCACAGGAAGAAAAGGGGAGGAGATTCTCTGAGTGAACAGACCAGAACCTGGGGAAGAAAGAATTGGCTCCTTCTTGGATAGGATCAAGAATGAGTGGGATCTTTCTATTCTTGAAGAATAGAACAAAAGGGAAATAGATTGTGGGAGCTTTGAATCCTGTCTAGAAGAAAAAAAAATTTTCTAGGAGGAAAAAAGGGATCTTGGCCAATAAGCAAATGAATGCCCTGGTTAACTCAGAAGCTCTCAATTAGCTTGATGGATGTGGGAAATTATATTAGAAAGCCAGGTAAGCAAGAAGTATACACATTAGACAAGATGTAGTCAGAGTGTGAACCTAAGTAAAATCAAAATTACACGTGTTTGCTGACACCACTCCATAGGCTGATGTCAACATCCAAGTGGATATATTATCTTGAACTCACAGAAGCCCTGTCATGTGTAGGGCTTAGAAAAGTCTCTGAATTACAGAGGTTGATAATGTAATATCAGAGGCCAAAAAACAGAGCTTATTTGGCCAAGCTTAGTACTGCTATAAGCTGGAAATGAGGACCACATTGCCCAGTTTTTAAATCAATAAACCCTCAGTGCATTAGACTCAAAAGCCAAAATGTTTCCCATGTCTCTGCTGCAATTAACTTTAGTAAATTATGATAACTCAGATGGAACTATACAATTCGAATGAGGAAGGTCCCAGAATCTATTCTAGCTATTGATCATAACTAAGCTATTACTTAAATCCTTTCTCTCTCAAATCAGCAGGCTGGTAAATCACAAATACTCTAGGAAAAAGAAAAGAAAAAATGCTCTATCCTGATTTCAATAGTTTTGATATTTTTGAGGGCCAATTTCAGCTTTTGGTTTTTTTTATAATGGAATGTCACAGCTCACTAAATTTCAAAACATTTAACAATTAATTCTGACAAGCCCAGTGTGAGCCAGTTCTTAATACCCCACTGTTTCTGAGGATCTATATTTGAAAATGGGAATTCTACTCCTTATATATCCAGACTTAGATCAGTGAAAAACCTAATACAGAGTTATTAGCAGATAGGAAACGTGATAAATACTTGTTCAATATTTACTGAGTACCTATTATATAGCTGACCATTCCAAGAACTGAAGATCTGGCAAAGAACCAAGTGATGAGTCTACTAACCTGGAGGAAATAAACCACAAAAATAGATGAATGACAAATGGTTGATATACTAATAGATGAAGAATGGATATAGATGATAGATGAATGGATAAATGATAGATGATGATGATGATGATGAAGAAGAAGAAGAAGAAGAAAAAGACAGACAGAAAGATAGTGAGCTAATTCTAGTTAAAGCTGGTAGGCATTAGGAAGAAAAGTCAAACAAGGTAAGGTTAAGAGGAGCAAGAGGAGTGGTCATACAGTGTCAGCTACAATAGCTATGGTAGCCTAGGCAGACTTCACTGATGAGTGGAATGGAGGATTAAACCATGAGATTAGCAGAGGAAAAATGTCCCAGACAGGAAGAGAGCCTGCATTGGGCTGGCACATGTTTGGGATACTTCAAGGACTGAAACACACACAGAAGACACAGGTGAGTGGAGCCACAGGTAGAAAATTCTGTAAGAATACAAGCCCAGGTGAGGGAATATAGTTACAAGTGGCAGGAGCAAACTTGAGACAGGGAAATTCCCCTTGCCATGTTTTAAAAGAACCAGAATCCTGCCATCTACCTCCAAAGATACACCTCTGAAGTCAAAGAGAAAAGAGTAGGTGGCAGACAGGCCTGGATTGCTGCTTCACCACCTTCCCTAAAGTGAGGAGTAAGTGCTTGCTGTGTTGGGACAGAAGAATTCCTCCATGTCATATATTCACCATTCAAAAGTCTGACCAAATGACAAAGCTGGCCCCAGTAGCTTTGATGTGCAAGCACATCTTGGACCTAGAGAGTAATCCTTCTGACTGTGGAAGAGATAGAATGAATCACAAAAGAAAATAAGTACATTGGCATCTTTTGGAAGACAGACATAGTGGATTGATAGACTTTCCCTTCTAAAATAAAAATCCTCCTGGGCCAGGATCCGGCTCTTTATCTCCCTCCCCACCATGTCTAACACGATACTAAATGGTGTGCTAAATATCATTGCTCTAGCAAATAGTAGCCAAGGCTAACAACAGTCCCAGTGAACCAAGAGAGCTTCTGTTGTCTTCCTATGAACATTTCAAGTTAGCTAGTTGACTTCTCTATATATCTAGGAAATCTTGATAATTTTTTAATAATATTCTTGGTTGATTCTATTTTAGTTTTTAAATTTGGTTCTTAAGACTCCTGCCATAAGATCATCTGGGACCCAATAATATTTTATAACATGTAATAAGTTAAGCTAAATAAAATACAAATTGCCAGACCCCCATTTCAGACCCACTGAATCAGCACAACTAGAGGAAGAGCCCAGGAATCTGGATTTATCGCAAACTCCCAAGTAAGGCTGCTGGTACATTACTGACTGACTTTTACAAGATCCACTGATTTCAAACAAAAGTGCAAAGGCTTCTTTTCATTTTAACTTTAATGACTCCACAAAGAGTTCTAAGAAATCTCTCATGTAAACTTCCTTTTCAAAATCTCTGCAGCCCCAGTCACAAGCTGACTTTGTTTAGAGAAAGGCACCGAGACACACAGCCCTCAGAGGACCTCGTGATGGGAGCATCCCATCAACTATCCCATTCATGCAAAGTTCATGTGCAGAGACACTGGTTGGCTCCCATGAAGCACCTCCCTAAGTGGAGAGCTGGAGAGTCTTTGAAATATTCCCTACCTGTAAAGAGGGCATGGTAATGGAGGCCCTTCTCCTTGTCCTGATGGGAGCAGACATCAAATAAGTAGGCTTTGATGGGCCCATCAATGAAGTCAGCAGCAAAATCAAAGAGAACCACACCTATCATGGTGATGGTTATGGCCCACACCAGCTTCTTCCTTGGGTTAGCAATCAAAGCTAAAAGAGAAAAAAAAAAACATTGGTCTCCTGAATCCTGTTTAGAATGATACAATTTCTTTTAATTTCATCTTAATTTTCTGTCATCAACTCATCGCCCACTGCTTTCATTTTGCTTTGTTTTCTCACATAAAAATGTGAGAAAAGTTATAAAGTTATAAAGATCATGCCACTAAATTTCAGGGAATGACATTATTGAAAGTAAATTAGTGGTTACCTAAGAAGGTAGGTTAGTCCATAGAAAGAAATCGGGAATAAATCCCAATTGGCAATGGACTTGGAGGGTACTGATAAAAAAAAATACTCCAGAGTTAAATTTGGTGATGGTTGTCTTGTGACTGTACAGAAAAAAAATCACTGGATTATATACTTCTAAGTGAAATGTCTGGGATGTGAATTATAGCTTTTAAATAAAGATGTATGTGCAATTCTTGTACATAATTCTAACAATACAGAAAAAGTTGAAGAAAACTCTTCAAGTCCCAATCCCAGTGATGGTTATCCTCAGAAACATTCCTTTATGCACTTCTTTATTTTAAAGGCTCATTTTTTACATTATTTTTTACTTTGTGTCTCTCTATGTTTCGAAAAAATAATACATGTTATTTTTAAGGTAGAAAAGAGGAAAATGTCTCAATCTGCTCTCTCCACTCAACATAACTCCCAACCAGAAAATCCATTACCTGCAATTCTGCAAAACAACAGAGGTTTGAGGGTTTTTGTTTTTGCTTTTGTTTCACTATAATTCCAGGCTTCTCTGAACTGTTCCTTCTCTAAACTTTTCTACATAAATGGACATATATAGCTATTTACTGCATATTTTCTTTTTTATTGTGAAAATACTGTACAGAAGGGTTATAGTTACATGAGCAAGGTAATGAGCACATTTCTTATCAAGCATTGTTGCCTCCTCCTTTGTTTTTTTCCTACCATTCCTTCCCTCTCATCTCCACAGATACACTCCCCCTACCTACCCCCCCCCACCTAAATTGTAAAGTTTTTTGACATAGTGTCTTGTACATCTCATTGTTGCAATGGGTCCACCTGTATCCTTATTTAAACAATTTGTTTTTTCTTTTCCCCTTCCCAAATTATACCAACATCAAATACAGTGAAAACAGGGGTTATACCATAGGGGAGGGACATACAAAGCAACAAAAAAGTCACCTTATAAATACATTAAAAACAATAGCAAAAAAGAAAAAACACTTGTGTCCTTATCTTGGGGTTCATTTCACTTAACATCATCTTATCTGACCTTTTCTGCTTGTCTCAGACATATACTAGTTATTGCAAATAAGAGAAACCATGGGACCTATGTTTCTTTGGGCCTGGCTTACTTCACTTAATAGAATTTTTTCGAAGTCTTTCCATTTCCTAACAAATGGGGCAATGTCATTCTTTCTGATGGAGGCATAGAATTCCATTGTGTATATATACCACATTTTCTTGATCCATTCATCTACTGAGGGCATCTGGGTTGGTTCCATATCTTAGCTATGGTAAATAATGCTGCAATAAACATAGTTGTGGTGGTAGCTTTAGTGTGGTCTTGTTTGTAAGCATTTGGGTAAATGCCCAAAAGCAGGATTGCTGGGTCATAGGGGAGCTCTATGTGGAGTCTTTTGAGGAACCTCCATACTGCTTTCCAAAGTGGTTGAACAAGTTTACACTCCCACCAACAATGCAGTAGGGGTTCTCCTCTGTCCACATCCCCTCCAGCATCTGTTGTTATTAAAGTTCTTGATTATAGCCATTCTAACTGAGGTGAGGTGGTATTTCAGTGTTGCTTTGATTTGAATTTCTTTTATGGCTAGAGAGGTTGAGCCTTTCTTCATGTGTCTATTAGCCATTCTTATTTCCTCTTCAGAGAAGTTTCTCTTTAAGTCTTTAGCCCACTTATTTATTGGGCCGTTTATTGGACAGTTGTTTCTTTGAGGATTTGTTGTTGGGGGATTTAATTTTTTGAGATCCAGGTATATTTTAGATATGAGACCTTGTCCATTGTAAGGCTAGTGAAGATCTTCTCCCAATTCGTGGGATTTCTATTAATCTTGCTAGCTATGTCCTTTGCCATGGAGAATCTCTGTAACTTCATTTACTGCATTTTCTAACTGCAATTTTGATAATATTGCTCCTGCTTAAGCTCCTTTTAAGTATTCTCTACTATCAATGATAAACGCTAGTATTTATTGTCAGACTTTATGTACTTCTGTATGTGCAGATCCAGCTGTACAGCAGTGCTCACGTCACATAAAGTGCTTCTTAAACTTGAACACACTTAGCTATCTTGTTAAAAACACATCAATGGTCCCGTTTCCTAATTCTAATTTAATAGGTCAGAGGGGCCTAAGGATTTGCATTTCTAACAGCCTCTAATGATGCTGATGCTACAGGTAAGAGGCCCACAATTTTAAATAACCCTGGCAAATGAGATCACATAGTGTTCACACTCCCCTTCAAGCAACTTTGCCAATGTGTTTCCATTTCAGTTAAGGATGGAATACCTTGCAGGTTTTTTTTTCTTTTTTCTTGTCTTTCTTTTTTTAATAATTTATTTACTTTATAGTTATTATAGAGGTGATGTACAGAGGGATTGCAATTACATGAGTCTGAATGAGTACATTTCCTTTCATACAGTCTTCTGTACCCTTACTCTTTCCCAGTCCTTCCGTCCCATCTCCACCCAAGAATTGAACAGTTCCCTTTCATCAGTGTCTACTGAGCTCCACTGCTGCACTTTTTCACCCTTGAGTTTTGTACTCTTCCCCCACCCTCCCAAAATATATGTGTCAATATACCATATATAAAGAAAAGAGAGAATCATCAAAAATAAAAATGTAAATATATATATATATATATATAAAGAGAAGTCTCTTGTTTCCATATCTTGGAGTTTGTTTTGATATATATTATATATAATATACATGCATATATATAATTTTATATAAACATAAAGAAGCACATAGGCATTGGGTTTTTGTGTTTCTCTCTTAAGACTATCCTCTTTTGGTCTTACGTGCATGAATATCTAGAACCCTTACAGTTTTTAATAGTTAAATAATATTCATTCTGTGGATATGTATGTAGGTTTTTGTTACCTTGTCAGAATTTATTATTTAACCCAAGAATAGTATGTAGTTTATGCACACATTAAAAAAGTTCCAGTATAAAAACCATTGAAAAACAAGCCTACCCTTCCTTTCTAATCTCCAGTCAGAAGGAAATACACTTACCAGCATTTTAATTCTTTCAGAAACCTCATGTTTATGCATTTAGCTCTTAACTATATACAAATGGTTCCTCATTATTCTGCTTCATAATTATCTATACTGCTGACTCAAGAGTTAATGGCCTAAAAATATATGCCTTTTTAAACGTCAATTTTTTCAAGGTACCACCACAATTACTAGTTGGTAGCTCATTAATGGCTAGAAAAAGGTGCTTTACTATTAAGTTTATCATCATTCAGAATTTGCAATGCAAAATGTCCCTTTTAACTCACAGGCTGATGCCCTGCACTCATTAAAAGGCTCTACAATAAAGCCAGGAACAGAATTAAACCTCGTTTGGATATAAGAGATGATTAACTTCAAGCCCTGATGGAGCCATTTGGTAGCTGATCAACTCAGGAGAACATGCTGTAGGGCTTACTGGCTCAGAAATTAAAAATCTCAATTGATACAGAAGGAAACCTTGAATTCGATCAAATAGATCAAAATTCAAAACTATTATAAAAGTCAAGAATGAGAGACATAAAGGCTCCTCCAACACCCCTTCAGAGCTGGAAATTCACTGCAGCCTAGAGACTAGAAGTGCTAGCCGGTTTCTAGAAAATATCACAGAGCCTCCCATTCTCACGGTAAGATCTGAGAAGCAGGCTTACCTGACACAACAGCATCTCCATTGAGGTAGAGGGCCATGCCCAGGAGCATCATGGTGCCCAGCGTGAGGATGTAAGGTCTGCGACGGCCCCACCTGGACTGGCAGTGGTCACTGGCCGATCCCACCACGGGTTGCAGCAGGAATCCCAGCACCGGGCTCAGGAGCCACACCATGCTGTACAGGCTCTTGGGAAGCCCCACGCTGAGCAGGACTGGGGTCACATACGCCGCCTCCACTGCGTAGCAAAACTCCCGGCCAAACATGGCCATGCTATGCATGATGAGTCTCCCTGTGGGTCTTTTGGGTGGCTCCACAGATCCAAAGGGGCAGTTGTCCGCTAGGGATTGATAAGTGTGAGTGCCAGCCTGCCCATTGTCACCCATAGTCACAGAGTAAAGTGCCTTCCTGCTTGGTCCTCCCGGTTTGTGCTCCAAACTAGATTTGACATGGAGCCTGGCTCAGCGACCGGCAGAGATGGTCAGTCCGGGGGAGGGGCTGGAATTCTTTCATGCCTCTAAGATCACAAGTTATGATGAGAGGGAAAGGGGGTGTTGGTACTGGAAAGCATGACAGAGATTAGCTGCTGTGAGCCTCTGGCTCCTAAGAATGGCTCGTAAAGAGTTCTGCCTTACTCTTTCTCCTCTCTCTCTCTCTCTCTCTATCCTTCCTGTTCCACCCTCTGTATTATCCATGATCACACACATAGCTTTGAAATTTTAAAAAAGTCTTATTGCACTTGGATTCAATGAAAATATAAATACTATTTTACAAACTTTTTAACATGCAGATCTTTTCTTTTCCTGACAAGTTTTCTACACACCCAGCTCTGAAGCCAAATAACTAGATCTAAAATGGAAGGTCTTATCCTTCCTAAATCATTTGCTGTCACATAGCACTCACAGTTTCTCATTTTCCCTCATTGCACTTAATGAATTTTGTAATTAAGACAGTTCTGTTTGTTTGGTATCCTTCGCTAATTAGCTTCTGAGTTCCTTAAGAGTAAAGATCAGGTCTATTTTTTTTTATTATGGTATCTCTAGAATAATACATGGCTCCTGGTATATCTTCAATAAATATTTACTAAAGGAATTATTTAATGAACAAATACATTTTCTAGTGCCCATTAACTGCCTAGTTTGTTCACATCTAGTCTCTCCAGTGCTTTGCATCTTATGGGACTACATTTCCCAGGTTCCCTTGCTCCTTGACTTCCAGGTATAATTAATAGGAGGCATCAGAGAGAAAGGAGTAAGAAAGGAGTGGTGAGCAGGTTTCTTTAGCATGAAGTACATTTGGCAGTGGCTGTGTTTCCTCTATGGAATCATCACCCAGCAGGCAACCTTGGCTTCAGGGTCCCAGTAACACTCCTCTTGTTCTGAGTTTCCTCTGGACTGCCTCACTATCTCTGCTCCTTTTACCAGTATAATTCTCTAGAGGGTTTCCTCTATTTTAAAGGCTTCAACAGAGTCATATATTCCTAGCAGGACCTTGAGCTATATGAAAAGTTTTGACAAGAGAAATATGATCTTATAGAGAAAAGCCTTAAACTGACTTGAGCATAACTTGAAGTCAGAATAGGAAGGAAGGGAGGGAGGGAGGGAGGGAGGAAGGAAGGAAGGAAAGAAGGAAGGGAGAGAGGGAGGGAGGGAGGGAAGAAGGGAGGAAGGGAAGGAGGGAGGAAGGGAGGGAGGGAGGGAGGGAGGGAAAGCAGTGATACCAGAAGAGAAGACAGGAAAAGAAGTAATTCCAGAAGACAGGTAGGGAAACTAGGAAGGAATCCAGGGACCTGAAGGAAAACAACCATGGCAGTAGACAAGAGTGGGTGGATCCAAAGTGGTAAGCTGGAATTCCTAGAACTTCACCACTGAGATTTACTTGTTTAAAAATACTAAATGTCGGCCTGGGAAGGTGGCTCAGTGGTAGAGTGCTTGCCTTGCATGCATGAGGCCCTGGGTTCGATTCCTTAGCACCACATAAGCAAAAACAAAAAAGCCAGAAGTGGCGCTGTGGCTCAAGTGGTAGAGCGCTAGCCTTGAGCTGAAGAGCTGAGGGACAGCGCCCAGGCCCAGAGTTCAGGCCCCACGACCGGACCCCCCAAAAAAATTTCAATAAAAATACTGTGTCCACTATGGGTCTGGCCACTATTTTAGAGATTTAGCAATGAATACAATGCCCTAAGTCCTTCAGAAGCTCTCAATTCTCTCGTGTGTTGAGGTTGAGGTTTCAATATGATGTTAATAGGGATAGACAGGGTGGAGAAAAGTCAAACAGGATAAGGGAACATCCTCACTGTGGTAAGAAGGGTCAGGAAAGAACTCTCCTTGGGGTGCTGTTAGCATAGGGGCCAAAGTGAAGTGACACATCCTTGAATTCAACTCAGTATTATAAAAACAAACAAAAGGTATTTGGGGTTAAAGTACTGCGCTTTTAGAAAACAAATATTCAGAAAGCTCTGAAGAAAATAGATATTATACAGGGATTTTCATGATAAGGAAATCCCCACCCATTCATAAAGCAAATTCCTCAAGTGACAGGAAAAGAGAAAATTATGCAGAGGCTATCTTCACTAAGCTGTACATCAATGGGCTTTGAAATTGATAAGGTGTTAATGGCTTTTCAGGCCTTGGCCCAGGTCCAAGGCTCACCTTTTCTCATACCTAGTTAAGAGTTTACATTTCCAGGCAGCAACCTGATACATTCCTAGGCACTGTACCTTCAATGTCTCCTCACTCTATTTTGCCTTCAATGTCTCCTCACTCTATTTTGAAATGCTCTTTAAAACTTGGGAGCTCAAGAAACTAGCCCCTCCCAAACGTAATACACGATTACTAAATGGGCAAGGGAGCTAAGAAGAGACTTCTCAGTAGAAGAGGTAAGAATGGCAAAGGAGGCTGGGAAGGTGGCTCAGCGGTAGAGCGATTGCCTTGCATGCATGAAGCCCTGGGTTCGATTCCTCAGCACCACATAAGCAAAAAAGAAAACAAAGCTAGAAGTGGCACTGTGGCTCAAGTGGTAGAGCGCTAGCCTTGAGCTGAAGAGCTGAGGGACAGTGCCCAGGCCCAGAGTTCAGGCCCGACAACCGGACCCCCCCCAAAAAAAAAGAATGGCAAAGGAACACATGAGGAAATATTCATCATCCCTGGACATAAAAGAACTGCAAATCAAAACAACCCTGAGATACCATCTTGCCCATTAGATTAGCCAACATTTTGAATTCTAACAACAAATGCTGGTGGGGATGGGGGGAAAGGAACCCCTACTGCACTGCTGGTGGGAATGTAAACTAGTTACAATAACTATGGAAAGCAGTGTGGAGGTTCCTCAAAAAACTAAACATAGACCTTCCCTACATCCCAGTCATACCATTCCTAGGCATCTACCCTGAACATCATGAGCCAGGATATGATAAGGACACCTGCATATCCATGTTCATTGCGGCATTGTTCACAATAGCCAAGATATGGAAATAACCCATATGCCCCACAATAGATGACTAGATCCAAAAAACATGTGGCACCTATATACAATGGATTCCATTAGAAAGAATAAAATGTCATTTATAGGGAAATGGATGGAACTAGAACATACCGTATTAAGTAAGGTAAGCCAAGGTCAGAGAGACTAATGGGGCATATTCTCCCTGATATGTAGAAATTAGATCTAAAAGGCACTAGGATATGACAAAATACACAGAATTCCAGATACTCACATACAGTGAGACCAAAAGAGGATAGTGTTAGGAGAGAATCACAAAGGTGCAATACAGAAGCGTACCCTCATATCTATATAAAATAATGTACATACTGCAGTAAACTCTAAAGATATGGAACACGGAACTTTTTTCTCAATTTGTTTTATTGAATCTGTATTCTTTACTTTATATGCAGTTATTTACATCCACATCTGAGGGAGGATGAAAAGCGCAGCAGTGGAGCGCACTGGCTGAAAGGGAGCTATCTAACTCATGGGTGGAGATGGGAGAGAGGGAATGGGAGAGAATGAGGGAACAGATGACACTGTGTGAAAGGAAATGTACTTACTTCCCAATGTATGTAAAGGTAACCCCACTGTTTATCACCTCCAAAATGACAGTAAATTGAAAAAAAATTGTTGCCTTGCCCTATCCCACCCCATTGGGCTTGAGGCCAGGGGAGGGGAGTGGACATACCTATAATCCCAGCGCTCTGGGAGACTAAGGTAGAAGGATCATGAGTTTGAGGCCAGTCTGAGTTACATAGCAAGATACTGTCTCAAAAAATAAAAATAAGGCTTAAAAAAGCAAGTTGTTGTTTATCATGATTTTCACTTGATTAAACAGAGAGACTTCCAGGGCAGAGGGAGAGCTGATGAAAATGGGAGGAGGAGTGGGAGAGTAGGTAGACCCAAGCAGCCTTCCAAATGGATGATGGGACAGCTCACTGAGGAAGAGAAAGCTCAGTACAGCCAGGAAAGAACAGGCCAACAAGCCCCCACTAGATAGAATCCAGCACTCAGTAGAGCATTCTAGGGGAAAAGTTTTCTGGAAGAAACCTCCAGAACATTTACTAACATTCAAATGCTCTGATACTAACAGAATGATTTCCTTCTGAAACTAACGGGGGTCAAACTTTTCTAAGGGCATGCATTTGGATAAACAGTAGAGCTACTAATATTCCAATGCATCAGAAAATGCTATTTAAATATGCAAACAGCTTTCTTGAAAACCACTGTAAACTTAAAAGCACAGTTTACTTTCAGAAGATAGAGGCTTTATTTAATAGAAATGTGTTATACTAATTATTTTAAAAATATGTTATAAGCATTTTAATATCAACAAATATGGTTTATCAAGTAAAAGTGAAGGCAGGAAACCTGACACAAATTAATATGAAGTGCATAAAATGTTTTAAAGCATGCTGGAGGCATGGTTCAAGTGATGAGTACCTGCCTAACAAATGAGGCCCTAAATTCAAACACCAATGTTGCAAAAATACATGTTTAGCCCTAAATTACTTCTTAGAATGCAATCATGAGTGTAGAATTAGTCACCAGTTGTTCCTGGATTACAATAATTGATCAGTTCATTACTTTTCTTACATATTTCCACACATACAATTATATGTGTAAATGTGACATTCAAATTCACTTTAGTGCCTACAAGTTGGAGTTTAGTTTCATCTTCTTATTTTCAATGATTCTATCTGCCTTGAGCTGATCGATCTCTTCCTGGTTGAATCCAAATTCTTTGAGTACCTCTTCAGTATGTTCTCCTACCAAAGGATCCCTTTTGACAGAAGGGACAGCTGGGGTTCTGGACAGCAGAGGTGCAGGACCAGGACTCACATGCTTCTCCTCGTTGGTGATGAATGAACCGCGTCCTTTGTTGTGACTGTGATGGGTGACCTCGTCAAAGGTCAGCACAGGGGTCACACATGCATCTGTGCCATCAAAGATCTTACACCATTCTTCTTTGGTCTTCTTTGCAAATGCCTCTGCAAATTTCTTTTTCATTTCTGGCCAATCAGTTGTACTCATCTGGGGGGGAAGTTCGTCAGACTTTAGACCAAGTCCTGAGAGGGAAAAATACAGTTTTTTATGTTATTATGCTTTGGTGTGGGAAGGAGTGACACTGTCCAAAAAGATATGTACTCATTGTGCCTGGTTTTTGTAACTGTAACCCATGTAGATCACCTTTATAATAACAATATTTTTTTAAGTCTGTAATTTAAAAAATTATGATTTGGGTAGAGGGATATTCAATGTAAATGAATTTTGGGCTTGCCATTGTATCCAAAATAAAATGTTCTGTAGGGTTTCTCAAATTAGTAGAAAAAATTATGGTCAGTTTGAAGTTGGAACCAATGGCCGAAAGAGCACAGGGATGGTGGTAGCCACAGTGACTTGGAACCAGCTGTGTCACTGTCACGTGCTATTTACTGACATTTCTGCAAAAGTAGTCTGTTTTCAATGGCCTAGTTTCCCAGAAATTGATTTCTCTTCTGTAAGGTTTTCACAAATAAAATTTTCTCAGGATAGAATTATCTGTCTTATTGAATTAAAATCACTCCACCTTTTATATAATGTACCCAAGCCCTATAAAAAATACAAATTGAGCAATTTTACACATGACTATCTCAGCCAAGATAAATGATTAAATTCAAGATTGGTAACCCTAAGTAATATCCCTTGCACCTTTTGTTGGTGAACTAAGAGCCTGGCAGGCTGTGTAGTAGTAAAGAACAGGTAGGCAGCTGAGACTAAGATTTTTAGACTTTATTCTGCATGAAAGCTTATCCATATAACTATCATTTTTGTTGCCAATCAGTACTCAATATGTTACATAAACAGCTCATTATAAAATGTTTTCGGATTATTTTTCCTGCCTGGAATCTGATGTAAATGATCTGAGCATGTCTATCTTCCTGAATTTAATTTTTTGATAAGAGAGTAATGTCACATAGAACAATTTCCTCAAGTTTTATTCAGATTGCTTCATGTCACAATTTCCTTCCTTATTAAAGCTGCTTAATGTTCCATTTCATGTATATACCATTTTGTTTATCCATTTATCTGTCAATGAACTCTTAAATTGCTTCTGCTTCTTGACTATTGTGAATGCTGCCAAGAATTCAGGCTTACAATTATCTGTTAGAGTCCCTGCTTTTAATCCTTTTGATTATATGCCCAGAAGCAGAACCCTTGGATCACATAGTAATTCTACATTTCGTTTTTGAGGTACTGTCATATCATTTTCTACGGCAGTTGTGAGACCTTATATCCTACCAATAATACAGATGTTTCCAATTCTCTACAACCTTGCCAATATTTGTTATATTGTATATTTTTAATAATATTTTAAAATTTTTATTGTCATGGTAATGTACAGTTACATATGTAAGGTAGTGAGTAGATTTCTTGTCAAACTTGTTACCCCTTCCCTCATTTTTCTCCTACTTTCCCAACATATTCTGTTCATTTCCAACATATTGTCTTGTGAGCATCACTGTTGCATTGCTTTGCACTCTGTCCTTTGTCTCACTATTTTGTTGTCTCCTTTCCAGATAAATATACATACAATACTCTGGGTACCAAAATCAAATACAGTGACAACGGGGGATAAACCACAGGAAAAAGAAAAGAAAAAAGAAATTATATAATACATTAAATTTTGAATTAAAAAAAACTTTTCAAAGTTTCCATTGTTTTACTTGATTGTACTACAAATCTTAATCCTCAATCATCACATATTCTGTTTACAGATTCATTTGTTCCACAAAACAGCAGCCACACAGTACAGTGAAGTTTGTATCTTTTTAAAAACTTGTGTATTTATGGTTAGTTAATGAAGAGCTAAATTGAAGCATAACCTCAAAAAAAAAATCTCAGAACCTAAGGGTATATAATTAGTACCACTTCAACAAAATCATTATTGACCTGGGGTTTATGCAGTAGGTTTGGCTGAGAGAGAAGTTATATGTGATAAGTTAAAGCATTAGTTATAATAGAGTAAAAGCAATACAATGGTAGGGCATTTTGGCCTGGACTATATGTATTATGTAACAGCTTATTTAACACTGTGCCTCCTGAAACTGAAAATCTCAGGAACTTTGGAGAGGGCAGGTCAAGTCAAGGCTATCACAAAAGGTCAAGGATGTAAAGAGAGGGGACTAATAGAATCCAAGGGATTAGAGGATGAGCAACACCAAAATATATTGCTTTCATGAATGAAGATAGCAAAATAAAACCCACTGAAAGCTGTATAATAAGGAAGGGTATTAGGGATGGGGACAGTGTACAGGGTGAGTTAATCTGATTAAAATACTGCATTTCCATATGTGAAATACCACAGTGACATCCCTTTGATTAGCAAATACTAGAAAACTGAATGATAGGAATGTAAAACAAGTCATTTCTAGAGTGTAGTTACTAGTGGGAGGGGAAAAGGTGAATGTGGAGAGTGAGAGTAGATGTCCAAGGCCAAGATACTGATGTCTGTGTGTGAAAATGGAACAATGAAGCTTGTTGAAATTAGTTTGAGAAGGGAGTAAGGGGAAGAGGGAGAATAACAGAGGGAGTGAGTCTGTCAAAGTGTATTGTACACACGTGTGGACATGTCAAAAAAGAAACTCCCTTCTATCACTCATTGATGCCACTAAAAATGTGGGAAAAATAAAAGGGATTACAAAGCTTAGGCTCAGAGGAGAAAACCCATAAGAAGGTACTCAGGAGTGGAAGAGTTTAAGGAAATAAAGTATGGGGGGAAAGGTCTTGCATCATTTTTAACATTTCTATGATGGTTTAATTGTTGAGGTAGAGTGTAGACATTCAATGAACAATCATATATTTTTAAATGAGAGGAAGATACATCAAAGAGAGGAGGCCACATTTGGAATAGCAGAATAAGGCCCTTCAAAAATCAGTGCCCATCTAATAGCAATGAGAACAGAAATTTAAAGAAAAGCCTGTCAGATACAACTTCTTCATTACCCTTCAAAGTCTGCAATAAAAATCAATGAGACTCAAAGACACTATGTTAGAAATGAACTTTACAACTTGGTTGGGGGGGGAGGGAGAGGGGGGAGGGAAGGGATATAGGAGACAAAGGAGGGGTAACAATGTTCAACGAGAAATGTACTCATTCCCTTATTCATGTAACTGTAACCCCTCTGTACAGCATCTTTACACTAAAATAAAAAATCTAAACACATCTCAATAAAGTGAATTTCAGTAAGACCCCGGTGAGTTTTGTGGTGACACTATTCCTGCTCTCTAGATGTCAGCCTCCTGAGTAGCTAGGATTATAGGTGTGGGCTACCAACACCTAGCTTCTTCAGAGTATTTTATTTTATTTTATTGTGCTGGTCCTGGGGTTTGAACTCAGGGTCCCCATGCTGTCCCCGAGCTTTTTTGCTCAAGGCTAGCATTCTACAGCTCCCCTTCTGGTTTATTTTTTTTGGGGGGGGGATAAATAGAGATAGAAGTCTCACAGTCTTTTCTGCCCAGGTTGGCTTCAAACCCTAATCTTCAGATCTCAGCCTTCTGAGTAGCTACGATTATAGGTATGAGCCACCAGCACCTGGCTCAGAGTATATTTTAAAACTTCTCAGATACTAAATTATCTTCAGAGGGAACTTCAAATTTAAATATATCACAGGGACAAATAACACCAGTTCAATTGTTTTATTTAAGGAAGAGATGTCAAATATTCCTGCCTGCTGTGACAGCGTACCCAAAGACAAGAATTTTTAAGACAAGCAAATGACAGAGGCAGCAAGTGACAGTAGCATTAGCCAACAGAACCTCACTATTGAAAGCCTCCCAATGCTCCAGTGACACCTGACACTGTACCATAAGAGACATCTATCAAAGAAAAAGAGCTGGGGAAGAATAAGAAAGACCCTGGCATATAAGCACAAGATAACAATTCATCACTCTTGGTATGAAATTAATAAAATCACTGAATATCCATCTCTCAAAAGGGACTGCTATTTCTTAAAATTCGGAGTTATTTTATAGTGTCATTCAAAAGATAGAGAAAGTGCCCTCACAAAAAAAATACACTGATGGCTATCGTTAGATTAATCAGATTAATCAGAAAATCAGATATACATGAAGAGATACAAAATTTAAAAAGGTCCTCAAATAGAAGCTAAAGAACACCCACAGCAGAAGGGGGATGCAAGCCTGGGTGGTTACCAACCTTTGACCATCAGCTGGTAGAACTGGGGTTCTATTGCTCCAACAGCCATGTAGCGCCCATCTGCTGTCTTGTAAGTTGTGTAGAATGGTGCCCCACCATCTAACAAGTTCTGTCCTCGAGGCTGTGTCCACAATCCCATTTGTTCAGTTTTCCACAGAAAAGAACTTAGATATGCTGCTCCTTCCACCTTTGAAGAAGCACAACACATCATAAATCCAGGCAATTCAAGTAAAGAACAGGTTTAGTGTCTATTGAGGTTTGTAATTGGAGATAACATCATTTATCTTAAAGTAGATGACAACTTGTATCAAAATCTACAACTTCTGAAGTATTTCCACAAAGGGGTTTGACGATAGAATAAAATTGTTCAGGTCAAGAAATGCTTTGAAACTTGGAATTACTGTTGTTATTCCCAGGTAAAAGGCAAAATTTGATGACTTTTGAAGCCACATAAAGGTACATGGAAATTTACTATATTATTTCCTGTATGTTCAAACTTGCCATGATAAGAAGTTATAAATACATCAAAGGTATTTTGAAAATCTACCCATTTTATGGGTAAAAACAACTCATAAACAATATTCGAAGAAAAGTATTATACTTTATAGGTAAATCACATTACAGGTAACTTTAGCCTATTCTAACTAGATTTCAATCCCAAGAAAACTATATACCAGTATTTAATATATCATTTTTAATGATCACTAATAGGTTACTAAATAAGCATTACCAGTATGGATGGCAGGTGGATAAGGCTGCCCACTTAGCTCAAGAATAGCTTATAATGAATGGGTCAAGAAAATGTGGTATATATACACAATGGAATTCTATGCCTCCATCAGAAAGAATGACATTGCCCCATTTGTTAGGAAATGGAAAAACTTGGAAAAAATTATATTAAGTGAAGTAAGCCAGGCCCAAAGAAACATAGGTCCCATGGTTTCCCTTATTTGCAATATCTAGTATATGTATGAGTCAAGCAGCAAAGGTCAGTAATGTGATGTCAGGAAAATGAACCCTCAGATATGTATTTTAATGTTTTTTTCTTTCATGCATGTGTTTCTAACGCATTTATAAGATTATCTCTTTGTTGCTTTGTATGTCCCTCCCCCACAGTATAACCCCTGCTTTCACTATATTTGATGTCAGTATAACTTGTGGAGGAGATGGGGAAAATCCAGTTGTTTAAGGATACAGGTGGACCTGTTGCAACAATGAGAAGTACAAGTTGTCATGTCCAAAATGAGCTTTACAACGTCGGTGTGTGGGGGGGAGAAGGGGGGGGAAGGAGAAGGACTGGGATTGGGGGGGAGGGGGCAGGCTGGGAAGGGATGTGAAGGGTAAACCAAAGGAGGAGGCTGCAATGCTTGGTAAGAAATGTATGCATTATCCTGCCCATGTAATTGTAACCCCTCTGTACAGTATGTTCACAAATAAAATTAAATTAAATTAAAAAAAACAAAAACAAAACAAAAAAAAAAAAGAATGAGCTTATAATAACCATAGCTATGACACCTACTGGTCTTGTTATTTCACGGTTCAGCAGAAAGTTAGTAAGCTCAAGACCAAAGGCCAGGAGCACTGGCCTCTTACATAGGAAACTTTCTATCCTCACAGGTTTTTATAATTCTCATGATTTTAATGTTTCAAGGAGATGACCATTTTTACATTATTGTTCCTGAGTTTCTAAGAAAAGGTTTCATTTGAGTAAGCACGAAATTTCTCAGTTCCTGGCTGTGAGACAAACACAAAGTACTTCTTTGGATTCATCATGGCTTTTTAAATTCTGTCTTGAAATCTCAGGTGTGCCTGAACTTATGGTTGTGACATTTATCATCACCAATTTAGTCACTGTGTACATAGATATTACTTAATATCACTTAATGGTACACAGAGCCTGATTTGTACTTGCCTTTGTGTAGGTGGCCTGTACAAGTGATGCTTATTTTTGAGTCTTGGTTACAAAAATCTTAACCATATTTTTACACACACACACACACAGTGACATATATATGGAAAATATAATTATGTCCACTGTTTTAAATATATATTTATGCTAAATTTATAATTAGATGCGTCTTAGACTAAATTCTGACACAACAAAACTCAGCTCATTTGCTTTCATTACTAAACTTAAAAGGTTCCCCTTTCTCTTTGCAGTTGACACACAAGTTTAAGAACTACTGTTGTACGTGAGTCTTAATTTGGGGCTGCTCCTAAAATTCCTAACAAGTTTGTACCCACTATAAACCAAGCTCTTGTTTTCTGCTCAGGTCTGGGCATCACAAAGTCAACTGAGATATAACCAAGTGTACTCAAAGCAAGTAATATAGTCACAATTTTCACAAGAGAGTTCTGAATACTGATTCTCTGACTCACATTCAGGTTAAAGACTGTGGAAAGTTTTTAGATTCTGAGTTAACCTTGAACTCACAAATCGGTTCTATTTCATCAATGAAATGCACTGAGCATCACAATGGGCCAAAGAATAAGAGACATAGCAGTACTAATCCTTTTATCAGCTATGTTGAGTAGCTGTGGCTACTCCAGCACTTGGTCCATATTATTCCCCATATCCATCCACATGCCATGCCTACAGCCTGTTGAGAGCTACATGACACAGGCAAACAGCAACCTCAGTGTCCACCAACATTTTATACCATTTTTATCATGTAAGCCAATAGCCTGCGTGCAATTAACAGTATCCCCAGATCAGGTAGTCTTCCTAGACGTTAGCAAAACTATCCACCCCATATTTCCACATTTGTTTATTTGTCTGTTTTTTTCTGACTTTAGTCTTTAATTCTTAGTCCATTCAACAAATACTTGATATAGTATATATTTTTATTGTAAAGATACTGTACAGAGGGGTTATAGTTATATGAGTAAGGCAATGAGTATATTTCTTATTTGTCTGCTTTTTAAGCCCATAGTTTCAAAAAACACCAAACAGCATTGTTAAAAGATAGACTTCACTTCATCCCAGGACTGCCTGGGCCAAAGACTCTGGCTGTTAAAACCCTGGGCTATAAACAGGCACCTACTTTTCCCTAATCAGCTTCTCAAGCACTCACAGCACTAAGAAAGTGGTAAATGTGCTGTGCTGCCCTTCTGACCTTGAGTAATTAGCCAGCACTAAAGATCTTCTAATGCCAGCATGCACCCTTAAAAAGCACACTTTCACATATGCTAAAAACTCAGTATCTTCTAATCCTTAGGTAATTAAGATTAGATACCTTCTGATGAAAACAGAAATCTTTCCTTATATTTGACTACAGAGGATCAATCATATATATTTAATAAATTGTCCATTTGTAACTGGATGAGTATGGAGCCTTTGAGGGTCCCTTTCCTGTTCTTAGCTGATTTCTTTTGGTGGCACAGATTGTGTTCACGGAGGAAGGAGAGGGACTTGGGGCTGAATCTCTATAGAGCAAGGCTTCTGACCCTTTCAGCCTCCAGCTTTGGAAGAAGGCAGTTAGCCCCTGAGGCCTTAAAATTTTCAAAGAAGCAGCCCCTATGCCCAAGAAGTTGTGTGTTTAAAGGAAGGGAGCCATTAGTGAGACTCCAAGTCCTGACTTGGTGGTGCAGTGTGAAGCTGGTGCTGCTGTTACTATTTCAGGCTGCAGCTATGACTGGCCAGGGGCAGCTTCCTGAAATACACTCCATAGATGGACAAAAAAAAAATAAGATAATGTGGTCTGTACCACATGAAGGCATTATAAGACACAGACACAGGACAGGGTTGAGTATGGTTCATCTGTAAAGAAGAAAAAGGAAGCAATCAGTCACCTGTGAGCTGAGGAGATTTCAAGGTGAGATGGACTTTGCAGTCAGCAGTACCTTATTCAATTTGCACCACTCTGTCTTTAAGCTCTTGGGGTATCCATCCTTTCTCCTTCTTTCTGTGATAACAACATTTCCTTCTGGTTGTCCACTTGGCCTTTCTCAGCCCTGGCTTTTCTTCATCTGCCTACCCATTCTTTACACACTGCTGTTCTGTTCTCTCCCTAGGGGACCACAGTCTCACCTGGTTCCCAGATTCTTCCCAAATGACTCCAAAATCTGCTTTCAGTCTCTAATCTTAACTATCCCACCTGGATATCAGAGAGTCACTTTAGACTTGACATGAGCAAAACTGAATTTCTTTACTTTAGGGAAAAAAAAAAACAAGTCATAGCAACTAACACAGAGTGCCTGCTCTATTCTGGGCAGTATATACACACTGAATAACGTACAAATTCATTTACTTCTCTAACAATGCTGCAGTATTATTATCTGCTTTGTAAAAGAACTTAAGTACAGAATAAATGTTATTATTTGTTTTATAAGACAAACTGGGGTATAGAGAATCAAATTCCTCTCAAGATCACAGCCAGTAGATGGCAGAACTAGGAGGAAGGAAGTTAGCTGCATGTGCTCCTGACTAGGATCCACCCGCCTCATCCCTCAGCAGTCTTCCCTTAGGAGGCTAGCACAGCCATCCATCATATCATCAGATCCAGAAATACAGACACCATATTTGATTCCCTACCTCTTCCCTATCTGCTAATCCATCACTAAGTCCCAGTGAATTTATATCTGGAATATCCTTTAAATCTAGCATTAGTTTAGAGATGAGTCACAGAGCATACAGAGAGAGTTGACTCCACAGGTGACTGCAATATGACATTCTGATAGTTTGGGCAATGTAAAGTTATTTTAAAGAAAAGGATACCTCGCTGAGTAGGATTCAAACTTTAAGCCTGGTTTTTCTCTTTTCTTACTCAGAAAACTATTTGAGGTAGCCATGTATCATACTCAAGAACAAGCAGCAGGCCTACTATTGCTCTCAATTAATACTTACCATGTTTGCATCAATGACCTGGCCTTTGCCAGATTTTGTGCGTTCAAAGAGAGCCATCATGATGCCCAATGCACACATGAGCCCACCACCTCCAAAGTCCGCCAGGAGATTCAATGGTGCATAAGGATTCTCACCACTTCTGCCAATTTTTGACAAGACACCTACACCGTTAAAAACAAATTCAGTGTCTCTTAAAGGAAAATACATGAACTCTTACAGGAATAGCAAATATCTAGTCACTGATCTGAATGAAAGCTAGTACAAAATGCTTTTTAAAATTCAAACTCACACAGTCTACTTTTAAGCAAGCTCTCCCTTAAAAGCATCTCTGTATTTTTTTGTTTTTCAAAACCTTTATCCCAACTAATACTCTCAAATGTTATAGCCAAGTTTTCATTCATTGATTTTGGAGGAGGGGAATAAAAATATTTCTATGAATTTGATTGTGTAGCTTTAAAACAGTATAATGCATTCTCATTCTTACTAAAAAGAGACATAAGAAAAGATTCATATGTTAAAAAGTGATTTATTTTTTTAATTGATAAAAAAGTGAATTATATATTCACCTAGTTTCCTCACTCTTTAAATGAATATTCACAGAAAAAATGAGATTACTTGTAGTCAACAACACAGAGTTCTTACAAGTCTAGAATTAGGACATTCTAAGATACGCTCTCATAGGCAAAAATCCTAATTAAAAAAATAAATAAATCCTAATAAAGTAACAGTGGGACCTGAAAACTATGAGCTTTTTCTAATGTCCATAGAATTTGGAAACAATGACTCAGAAAGTAATTCTTATGGAGCAATGTCTGAATTAAACTATATCAATGTTTTCAGACTATATAGTAATCATTCCTACTAACACAGACTTGCTTGTGTCCTTACAGAGGCTTGTCTGAAAACTGACTTCACAAATGTAGTGAAGAAATTTTTCTAGCAAGCATCTATTACCTCTTAAATGGGTTGAGATGGAGAAAAAGCTTGAGAATGACTGTTCTAAGAATCCAAACCAATTGATATTAAACCACCACGCTCTCCTCATTTATTCTGGTAAGTATTTAAACCTTCACTATTAAAAATTTTCATTAAACTATGTAACTGTAAATCATGATTGGGGATATACTTAAAGAGTAGAAAAATTATTTTTCAACATACCTGACAAAGCCAAATAGTTGATGTCATGGCCAGCAGACTTAGAGTAACTTCCTGACTGACCAAATCCAGTGAGCCTTGCGTAGATAAGCTTTGGATTTTCCTGCAGCATAATGTCTGGCCCAAGATGCAGATTTTCCATGACACCTTAAGAAAAATAGAATAATTCTTTTTTTTTAGAGAGGATAAATTGAAGATGGAGATGATTCCTTCTCTAAAGTTACCATAAAATGTTACTCTTACCAGTAATACTACTAAACATTCATTGCAGCTTTATGAAACTTGAAATAGAGGCTCTTTATTTTATTAGAGCTTATCTTCATTAAGCTCTAATAAAAAATAAAGTTGGGGAGTTATGAAGGAAGGTGATCTCGTGCATGGATGCCTAAGAAGTACTCTTCACAGAAGACTATCTTATATAACTTTATCTAAGGGCCACTGCAATCTTATACAAATAAAACTTTTGTAGGGACATTTGCTCAGAAAGGGCTTCACCTCATATTCTAGTCAAAGATTAGTGTTTTGACATATTTTATGTAATCTTCATTTTATCTTCAAAAACTTCCCCTTGTGAAAGTAGGGGTGTGGCTCAAGTGGTAGAGCACCAGCCAAACAAAAGGCTAAACAGAAAACCTGAGGCCATGAATTCAAGCTCTAGTACAAAAACCCAAGGCCTTGAATTCAAGCCCCAGTACTGGCCTTATGCTTTCTGAACATGGTCAGTTTGCTATTGCATAATATTCTCATTGCAGTGCTCTTCTGTTCCCAAATAAATAGTATTTATTTGGAGAAGCTCTATCATTTAGGTTGACAGCTTACAGCAGGTTTCCAGTAGGTCAGGGCCCCCAGAATGAGGTCCCTCCTCTGGAATGTTGGCTTCTGCCCCTGGATGTGTCTTCTGGCACTGGAGGCATACCCAAGCAATCTCAAAGGAATTTTCTTTTTTTTTCCCTTCCCATGCTCACTCTAGTGCCTACCACTTCCTCTCTCGTGCTGTCCTTGTATACAGATATAATCATCTTCCATGGAGCTTAAGAGCTCCTGCCCCAGGACTGAGAGCATGCTTGTTCCCCGGGTCCCTCAAGTACTTTCACAAAAGTCTCATCAAGTTCCATGGAAAGAAAGATTAGTTACAAGAGCACCTGAAAGGTCACAGACTATTAACAAGTATATTTTATTGCACAAAACCAAGATAACTGACATCTGAAATATCTAGGGATTAAAAGTAGTCAGAATTATCTGGGGATGATGGCTCATGCCTACAATCTTATCTATTAAGGATCAAAGCCCAAAGCCAACCTGGGCAGGAAAGTCTATGACACTCTTACCTCCAATTAACTACTTGTGGCTCAAGTGGTTTAGTGATAGCCTTGATCAAAAAAGCTCAGGGACAGACTACAGGCCCTGAGTTCAAGCCCTAGGACCAACACACACACACACACACACACACACACACACACACACACACACACACAGGATTCAGTACATGACACAGTAATTGTGTAGGATTGGTAGCTCTAATAATATGACAAAACACAGAAGTGATGTAATCATCCACCAATCTAGATTTTATGAATATACATGGATCTATCTTCTTGTGTAGATAGGTAGGTAGATGGATTAACTAATACCATTAATAAAAACTATTTCCCTGCCACTGAGGCCTACTCATTATTAAAATTATGGTTGAATTAGCCACTTATAATGAGTTGAACTTCTCTTTCAGCCTACCCAACTTGCTATGTTCTTATTTGTAACAGCGGCAGTATCTTATAAACTTTTTGCTTTTAGTCAAAACCTTTACAATAGTAGCTTCTAGTTCATTACAAGACAGACTACTTAATTATGCTCATTCGCCTTCATCTTTAAATAGGGCATTATGATATGATACTAATTGTGCTTCAAGTGCTCAGCTATGGCTGAGGGCTAAACTAGTTGTGCTGACAATGTCTAGAGTCCTACTGGAATTCCATTCATTGGCCAAATTTACTGCCTCTCTGTTATCTACTAGGCAATCCTTTGGACTTGTACTTCAACAAGATTACTCCCTTTGCTATCTGAAAATGGACAGAACTCAAATACCAGTTTAAAAGGCTGTAGCAGCATCAAAGCTGGTTGCAGTAGAGTGGCAAGAAAGAATTCCAAGGCATGGTAAGGAGGAAGAATGAGTAGCTTGCTATCAGTGCAAGGAAAAGAAGACTGGAGCATAGGATTCTGATTCTGACAGCCGGGTGAATAGCCGCACTCCCTGAGGTAACACTAATACAGAAAGGAGGAAAGGAAGGCCAGATACTGTGGTTCAGTCTGTAATCCCCGATGATCAGGAATTGGAGACCAGAAGATGGAGGTTCCAGTCCAGGCTGAACCTGGCTGCATGCATGGCTCAAGTGGTATAGCAGTTAGGGGCAAGTTGTTATAGTTATTTATCTGTCTATAAAATGTGAGCAATGGGAATGGATCAGTAGACTCGTGGGAGCCGAAGACGAAGTAAATAAAATGAGCTTGAAGCTGGAGCTTGGGAAGGCCCAGCATTTAAGGTAGAGAAGGTGAAGCGCGAGATCCATGGATTGCTTTGGAGAACTAGAGCACCTCAAAACATACATGATTTGTTCCTACATTGCAGTTTCCCAGCCAGAGAATCTACGACTTCCACTAGATACACCTAAGATTCAGGCGCTCGAATACTTAATAATGGGAGGTAGAGAGACATGCGGATGGGAGAGAGAAAACAGAGAAAAGAAAGAGGAGGCGGGGCAGAGGGAGAAGAAGAAAGTGGGAGGGAAGAAGAGAGAGAGAGAAAAGGAGGGAGAGAGAGAGAGAGAGAGCGTGCAAAGGAAGAAAGGGAGAGAGAGGAGGGAAGGGGAAATAGGGAAGGGGTAGCGACGAGTTAGAAGCCAAAGGAGAACCAGGGCGACGGCGGCATCCCAGACTCAAGCTCCGGAGAAGGTCGTGTCAAGCGGGGAGAGCTACAGCACCGAGAAGCCAGCAGATGGCCTAGACGGGCTGCGAAGGGGGCGGCGCCGGGGACGCGCAGGCTCCGCGGCCCGGCGGGGCGCTCGCGGGCCCGGCGCACGGCCCTCCGCGGACCGCCCGCCTCGCGCGCGGCCCGGCACGCGCACGCGCACGCTCACCGCGGCCCGGCCCGCGCACGCTCACCGCGGCCCGGCCCGCGCACGCGCACGCTCACCGTGGCGGAAGGGCTCCAGCAGCACGTCGGCGCCCGCGCACAGGCGCCGCAGCACCGCCGCGCCGCGCGGCTGCTTCAGGTCCAGCACCAGCGAGCGCTTGCCCCGGCCCAGGCGGCTCACGTCGCCCTGGGACCCGGGGCGGTCCACGCGCACCACCTGCGCCCCGAAGTCCGCCAGCACCATCCCGCAGAACGGACCCGGGGCCAGGCCGGCCAGCTCCACGACCCTGACACCCCGCAGCGACATGGTGCCCCCCGCCCGGGAGAAGACCGCACCCCCACCCTGACCTGGGCCGGCCTAAACAGGCCCGGCCGGCCGGCCGGCGCCGCGCCTGCACCCGAGCCGGCCCCTCCGCTCCGCCCCCCTCCCCACCGGCGCGTGCGCACTGGCGTGGCGCACTTCCTGTCTTGGCTCCCGAATCCTCCTCTGTTACTCTGCAGTGCTCCACCTTGAAGTGCTCAGTTGCACCGGTGACTTGGGGGCTCAAGCTTGCCACCGACCTCACATATATTCTGCTCACTGCTGAGTGAAGTATGTCAGGCTGTTAAGCGAAGTATGTCAGGCCTAGAGAGACAAAGGACACATGCTTTCTCTCATATGTGTAAGTTAGATATAGTTTACAAGTATATATGACCCTATACAGGGTCATATGCATATATACACAGACACATTAGCTAACATGCTATATGCAAGGGAGAATTCCAATGGTGTAATTCATTTGAACAACTAACCTGCCTCACAAAATGAATACCAAGAAGCTGGAACTTAAGGTGTCAGTGTGGGTGAGGTAAAAGGGAGGGAATAGACAAATGAAGAGAACGCTGGGAGAATGCAGTCAATATAGTAAATAGAAGTAGGGGAACTGGAACTAGAAACATTGAGAATATAGATGTGGTTGAACAGATGGAGTTAGAATGAGGGGGAAGAATGATCTAGATGCATTAAACTGACATGTTCAATATAAGCTCTTGGTACAGCTACATAAAGATAATAAAAGTGTCATAGTAGTCCAGAGAAACACAATATTTTGCACTTAGGTAGATATTTGTCAATTCTTGCCACATCCTTTGGAATTAACATTTGCACAGTCTAACTTGTTTGAATTTGTTTGAATTTTGTCTTTAATTTCAGCTTTTGTTTCAAGCTATTGAACTATGGATGCTGGGTCTAACTGGTATCTTGATGGATGCCGGAGACTTTCTAAAAACTTAGAGGTGAAATCCTGTGCCGCCCCCCACACACACCAAGATGTAGGCTCACCTGAATTCCTAGAGGCAGGGTCAAGGACTTGGACTATAGGTTACCGGACCTACCATGAACTCCCGAGACTCTTTGAACGTTCTTTGAACTCTCCAGCTCCCTGTGATCCTGGCCCCTGACCATGACCCTATTTAGGCCACAGCACCTCAGCCATCTTTTGCATCATGCCTTGCATCTCCTGATTCTCCTCAGGTCATCACGGTGTCCCTCTTCAGCTGTCCATTAGAGTTGATCTGATTTGTTGAGATTGTTTTTCTGCTTTCTTTATAACCCTCATGGCTCAATTTTCGAACAGTATTAAGTGCATGATTCAAGGCTGCAGGTTTTATTGGGGACATGTGCCTGCTCGCAGTCACCAGCTTTCTAATAAAGACTCTCAATTCAACCTCTCAAAATGTGGCTTCTCTGTTTCTCATCATCAAATTCCCATAAAATAATATGCTCTTACAAAATTCCTTTACTGTATCAGATAATGCAAAGCACATATATAGTATGTTTTTGCTTGTGCACACATACACAAATGTATCCATCCAAATGAGCATTTACCATAGAGTATGGCCATGACTTAACATGGCTTAAGATGAATAAACAAAACTAACATGCATTTATTGTTCATTTACAATTCTGTAGACAGAAGATTCATTGTTACAATAGTTTTAAACTACCTGAGCTTATGAGGTTTTTTTTTTCTTCCCTTTTTTGAGAACTTCCACCTTTTCACTTAAAGGAAGAATTTTATGACTTCTTTTTGGTATATGCATACAAGAATTCCCAGTATCATGGCTCTTGGTATCTTAATAATAGTTTTTTTCATTTGTTAAGTAATATTGGGATTATACAAACATTTCTGTGAAGAGATAGTCAATTTGAATGAGACAGCTAGTGGCTTCTAGGGTGTAGATATATTGGGTAAAAGGATGATTCTTATTCCTGGAGGATTGAGTAAGACAGAATGTGACCTCATTGTGCTACTCAGTCTTGATATACAATTCAAATCTTAAGCATTGTTTCTGGAATCTTCTCTGTCATATTTCAAAATCTCACTTAACTGCATGCAATTGAAATTTCAGGAAACAAAAGCTCAGGTAAAAGTGGACTGTTGGGTAATTATGATCATGGGTAAAATGGTGAGAATATTATTCATTATTTAGGCTGGCTCCCATCTTCCTCATGAGTTATTTTTTTTACCCCTGGAATGAGTTGGCAAGTCCAAGACACTTTGCATCTGCTTACAATCAAACTTTGGGTATCTATTAGGGTGAAAACTATAATTAGGCATGATTATAGAAACACTCAAGGTATGTAATAAAGACCCATCCACTGAGAGATATTTCTTTTTTTTTAGTGAGTCCTGGGTTTGAACTCTGGGCCTGGGCACTGTCCCTCAGCTCTTGAGCTCAAAGCTAGTGCTCTACCACTTGAGCCACAGCTTTTTCTGCTTATGTGGTGCTAAGGAATTGAACCCACGGCTTCATGCATGCAAGGCAAGCCCTCTACCACTGAGCCAACTTTCCAGCCCTGAGAGATATTTCTTAAATATTGGAAATCATAAAAGTAAAGTAACTTCAAAATGGAGCTTTTGGTAGACATAATGACCATCACCGTTTTTCATGACTATTCATATTGTCTACATGAAAAGATTTTGCTTTGTGGCAAGTATATTACTTGCAATTATATGACTTCTGCATTTTTTAAAAATAGAAAACAATGCATTTAACAAAGGTGTGTTTATTTCTACGTATGCTTATTACATTTTTCTTGCTGTAGTTTTTTATCTCAAGCCAGGCCAAAGTCTTTCTATAAGGCATTTATTAGGTAGTGTACATTATTTGGATAGAAAAATCTCTTAGGTCAACAAATAACACTGTATTAGCCATTGGCAAATCGCTTCTGTGAAATATTTATGATAATTGATCACAGTAAACCTCAACTCCATGACTCCATACGCTACTGAGGAGAAGTATACAAAAATCATGAAAATGTTTCTGATGAAACACATTAGAGCATTATATGTGGATAATAGGAAAATTTAAGCGTGTTTGTTTAGAAAGAAAAGATCTGGATGAACTGAGCCTGGTAGTCTTGTTTGTTTCTATTGTTTGTAGTTCTATTTAGCTTTCTCTGCCACTAGCTGTCAGAAAACCAAATACAAAAAAAAAATCCATACTTTAAAAATCTGTATGGAAATTCAAATTGTTGGTCTCATTATTTAGAGGAAATTAATTATATTTTTCAGATAGACATATCACAATAGCATTTTAAATATGCTTTATATCAGGATAAACAAAAATTGCAATGATACATTCTTTGTCTAGAGTAAATGCATTTGGGTACTGAGGGAGAGTGCTTTTTAATATGTGAAAGAGCTTGTGTTCAGCACCAAAAAAATATGAGGTACTATCTGAAGCAACATCTTCAAAATTTATGGCATATTCCTATGATATATTTTGGTGGCAAATTTAATCCTTTGAGAATATATTTTTAGATAGACAAAGACAAAAGCCAAGTGGAACCTCCTACAATACCTTGTATATCAAACTACTCTGTGAACATTAAATACAGTAATAAAGGAAGCTGTAAGAGTTCTTTAGTGAATAGAAGCATAAGATATTTTGTATGTCTCTTGAATAGCATACTCTTATATTTGTATCCTTTGGTCTGGCTGTGCTTAATATAGTTTACAGCCCCTTCAACATAGCATAGTGTGTGTAAAATATAAATATATCCAAATAACTTCCAAATTTAAAAAAGTACTGTGACAACATCTATCCTGTATCAAACTATACTAGGTTCTGCATCCTGGAGTCAACAAAAAATCTATTACAATCCAAGAAATACCATTGCAAAGAGGAAAAAAAATCCAATGTCTAAATCTCACAATTCTGGATTGTGAGAAGATTTTGATGCCCAAAGTTCAAGCTGTTACAAGTAAAAGTGTCATGGCAGAAGTAGCTGTTAAAAAATAAAAAGGGAAAATCAATTATTTATGAGCATCATCAATACTAAAAGATCTTTACTTCACTTGAGAATATTATTACCTACCCCCAGATGAAAAGTTTCACTTCCCACATGTAGTTTCTAGTGCAAGGCCTTTATACATGCCCCAGAATAGGATGATAACTGTATCCTATCCTCTGAAATGTTGCAAAGAATAATGAGCTCAAAACTTCAGACATTCCTGAAAGCTGATATAAATTGAAACAAGATCACCAAAACTTTTTGCATATGATTTCTCTGTTAAGAATAATTATGTCCAACATGCATCATGGAATAATTCTTTCTTGAGGTGCCTCAGGAAGTAATGATAAAGATACTGAGTACATTCTCAAGGTCATCTGGAAAGACTCTTTTTGTGCTTTATTCTCCTGAGTCATCCAACGTTATTGGTGTAACTGTAGCATGACTAGCAGTGTGACCGGTATTTTTATGCAGACTTTAAACCCACAACTTCAACATTCCTCAGATCACAATTCCAGCTCAGCAACAAGTCTTCCCCAACATGGAGCTCTGCTCTTCATCTGTTTATTTAGTTTCAAAGAGCAGGAAGCCTGCAAAGGTGGAAAATCGCTGGTGGTCCCCATGGAGGGCACCATTGCCCATTCGCAGCCAAACCTCATCCCCTTTGGCCAGCTTCAGTACTGCATGATTGCTGGATGTGTCAGATTTCCCCTTTGTTTCATAGCTGGAAAGAAAAAGGAAGCAAAACGACTTAGTTTTTGCTTTCACCAAAATCTCTGCAGCCTTTCTTTCATGCATTTAGGTATGGTTGTGTGGTTTTCTAAATAGCATATGAGCAGAAATAACACATGCCATTCCTATTGCTCACAAACACTCCTTCTTGTTCCTTTACAACTACCTGACACATGAATGACAGTGATTCACATGACCATGAAATCCATAGGGAGAAGTCTGGCGGGTGGGGGTGGAGTGGTGGGGAGGTGTTTGTTTTTGTGCTAGTAGTGGGACTTGAACACCAGGCCAGGGCACTGTCTTTAGCTTTTCACTCAAGGCTGGAACTCTACCACGTGAGCCACAGCTCCACTTTGATGTGTGGGTTCTTGTAGACTTCTTTGTAGAGGATAGCTCTCTTTCTCTTACCCCATCTCACCATCCTCTTCAAACTACCTGCCCTGGACTGTCGTATGAAAAGGAAGGAAATCTCTACTCTGGTGGAACCATTACATTGAGTCTTTATTACAGCAGTTATACTTGCCCTAACTAATCTACAATTTTGTACTCTGGTAATTAGCTCAAGGTGTCATCAACCTGCCTTTCACAGATTCATCCTATGATAAATGGAGGCTCACATCAAGTTCCATGCAAGTCAGTGGACTTTCTCTGCAACATAGACGAGACCTGTGACAGGAAAGACCACTCACCTGTACATGCTGAAGACTGTATTACCATTGTGCATAAGGTACACATATACCTCCTCAACATCCTCGTGCTTCATCATGCTGAAGGTGAAGAAATACACACCTGAAAAAAGGCAAACATTTACCTTCATATTTATAAATGCATTATACACAGAAGATCTAAAAAGAATGTCAAATGAAGTCACACTTCTTATGTTCTTTTTTATTGGTGTAAGTTAACTGAACAAAGGAGTCTCACGGTCATATTTGCACACATTTAATGTAATCTAATAAAAAATAAATCCCTCTTACTTTTTCTTAACCCCTTACTCCCTTTTAGGACTTAGTGGGTCTCATTATGCTGTTTTCACACACACACACACACACACACACACAATGTACTTTGGTCTCTTCAGCCTCCTATCCCCCTCTCTTCTCTCTTCTTCCTCCTACTGCTTCTCCCCCAAATTGTCCCTTTTTGTAATCTTGACAATTTTTCTTTTAAGATCTAGATTCCACATATGAGGCATATGCAGTATTTGTGTTTCTGAGCTTGGCTTAACATGATCTTAGTTCAATCTACTTTCCTGCAAATTAAATTATTTCATTATTATTTATTGTGCTGAGTAATACTCCATTACCACGTGTTCTTTAGCCATTCATTGGTTGTTCAGTTCCTAAGCTGATCCTGTAGCTTGGCTCTTTTGGATAGTTTTTGGCCTTTATTTATGTAGGGATCCCTTTATTCTCACCTTCAAAGCATTTAAAAAATTGAAACTTTTAAAGACAAAGTTTTTAAAAATAATTTTTCCAGGGACCCCTAAGGCCAGTTTACTCAGATAAACATCATATCAGAGTAACAGCACTAACTAAGGAGCTTAGTCAAGCTTTCTCAGCTTTCCCTAATAAGATTAACACAACGTCTTTAAAGGAAGATGTCTACCTCACCTTAACTGTCTCACTCACTGCCTTGTCCATGATGACAAGATATAGAGATCTGTGGGTCAGCTCAAATAAAAGGATAGATTGGAACATATAGTAAATGCTGCATATATTTAATGAAATGCTTTTGGTCATTTCTTATATCATTAGTTATAAATCAGTGAATTTAGCAACACATCATTGTTATTAATTCTGTAACCTACTCATCTGAAAAACTAACATTTTTTAAGATGTGTGTTTTCTTACAAGAATCATTCATTTCCATTATGGAATGGGAAGCAGTTCAGTATAACCCAATATGCTTTAAGTGCCAGCATAGAAGTTTTTTTTTTCTTTCATCGAATGACTAATAATCCAATAACATACACACTAAAAGAGAAACCCTCTCAACTCTTAAATGATATTGAAGTTGAGAGTATATTTTGGAAAGATGAATAAATGTAAGTCATCAAGCTCTATGTTATTTTTAACTACTAGCCTTGCAAGAGAGAAACTCAGAAATATCTATTAAAAAAAAAGAAAGCGGGAAAAAGCATTGCATGACTCTATTTCTTTTTAAAGATACAACTGAGTAACATAGAATTATACCATCTAATTGTGAAGTAAGTCAAACCAAATAACAATGCTTTCTATTCCATGTGCTGGAAACAAAGAATAAGGGATCAAAATTACTCATTTTATCCATATGCCTAAAATTGGCCCATAGATTAAAAGGTAAAACAACTTAATGAAAGTACTTCAAAGGGTTCAGTTGTGAGTTTTTGTATTTTACAAATTTTCATTTTACATGTATACACACATAACAATTTTCAATGTCTTAAAAAGAAGATAAAAATGACAGGGAAAATAGATTGTTTCCCCTTCTCCAAAAAATAATGAATGCTACAAAAGCAGATTACAGAAATCATTCAGAAAGAATAAACTAAGAAACCAGAAAATGAATAAATAAAATACCTATAATTGAAAATACAGAACTAAATGAGCATGGGACAAGATATGCTGAAGGCTCACACCTGTAATCTAGCTACTCATGAGGTGGAGGTCTGAAGATCACTGTTTGAAGTAACTTAGAGCAGGAAAGTCTGTGAGACTCTTATCTCCAATTAATGAGCACACATCAGAAATAAAGCTAGCACTCAAGTGACAGAGTGCTAGCCTTGAATTTAAAAGCTAAGGGACAGCACCCAGGCCCTGAGTTCAAGCTAAAGCTTGAACACACACACACACACACACACACACAGAGGTGTTGAAATCCTTGGCAACATAAGTGCACTAGGGTTGTCGGCTGTCGGCCCATTGTATTGCTTTGGTTAGAAATATCAGCCTTCTCTACCTCAGCCCCAGATTTGAAAAGGATGAGTTAACCATTTTGCAATCTGTTGTGAAGTTTAATCAATGAATTACAGAAATCAAGTGGCAATTGCTTCATCACAAGGACATCCAACCCAAGGCCAACTAAAATGCTAAATATTTAGACTTTGAATACAAAGCCACTGAACTCAATGAAACCATTTGCCAGGTATATATGCAGTTATTTAACAAATAAATTACAGAAAAATATAAACCTTCAGAGCAGAAAAATCACAGAAGCATGTTTAAAACTGATTGAAGTACTTCAGAAGACCACATCTGTCATCTCACAAGATCAGTTTATTTTGGTTCACATTGGGTAGAAGAACCAATCCAGGGAAGCATGAAAGCATTTGTATAAACCTAACATGACCAATGCACCTATGCAGAGAAACAAGGAAAAATGAAAAATAAAAAGAAAACTGTTTAAAGTATTGATTTTCTACAAAACTAGGATACTGAAAAAACAAACCAGAAAACTTCAAAACTACGTGTTGAGTACTGCAAATTGGCAGAGGACAGGCTGAGTCATTTGCCGGCAGCTTAGGGACTAGATGAGGGTTCTGAGGACAGAGGGCAGCAAATGTGAGAACCAAGGAAAATGTCATGATGGAAAAAGATGATTCTAAAGTGAAGATACTGAATAGATGCTCCCTTGAGCAGAACTGAGATACAGCATTTGCTGTCATCAGTCTTTGCTGGGGGAAAATGTGTAGAGTATGAAGAGTTTCTACAGAGGCACTGTGATACTTTTGTAAATTATTTCAAAGTAAACAAGCTTTAAGCAGATTTTCTTTTTTTCTCTTTTCTTTTTTGTGCCAGTCCTGGGACTTGAACTCAGGGCCTGGGTGCTGTGTCTGAGCTTTTTATTGAGCCACACCTTCATTTCTGGCTTCTTTCTTAAAGTCTTTCTTCCTTTCTTTCTTTCTTTCTCTTTCTTTCTTTCTTTCTTTCTTTCTTTCTTTCTTTCTTTCTTTCTTTCTTTCTTTCTTTCTTTCTTTCTTTCTTTCTTCCTCCTCCTCTTCCTCTACCTCCTCCTCCCTCCTCCATCGTCTCCTCCCTCCTTCTCCTCCTCCTCCTGCCTTCTTCTTCTCCTCCTCCTTCTCTCCTTCTTTCTTCTTTTTTTGGTGGTTAAATGAAGATAAGAGTTTCAGAGACTTTCCTGCCTGACTTGGCTTTGAACTTCAGTCTTCAGATCTCAGCCCCCTGAGTAGCTAGGATGATAAGTTTGAGCCACGGGCACTCAGCTTAAATGGCATTTTTAAATTGACACACATTTGAAAGTTCACTATTGATGAGGTCATAAGGAAAAGGGCTCTCCTAAATGTCCATTGTATGAATATATTGATACAATCCTTACAGAGAAACTGTTCCCAGGATGTTAGCCTATGATGCATTTATATGTTCAATTAAAAAATGAGATGTTCAAAATTAGTCATTACAACTTTTTGTTTGTTTGTTTGTTTGTTTTTGCTGGTCATGGGGCCTGAACTCTGGGCCTGGGTGCTGTCCCTAAGCTCTTCAGCTCAAGGCTAGCACTTTACCACTTGAGTCACGGCACCACTTTCAGCTTTTTCTGCATATATGGTACTGAGGAATCGAACCCAGGGCCTCTGCATGCAAGGCAAGCACTCTACCACCAAGCCACCTTCCTAGTGCCTACAACTCTGTTTTTAATGACAAAAAAACTAGAAACAATTGAAATGTCTAGTCATAAGGAAATGATTAAGGTACATACTTGTACATACAGCTATAAAATGAAGTAATAATATGTTGAGATATGCAGATTCTTTTTTTCTTCTGTGTGTGTGTGTGCGCGAGTGTGCGTACACGTGCACATGCCGGTACTGGGGCTTGAACTCAGAGGCACTGAGCTTTTGTGTGAAATGCTACTGTTCTATCACTTGAGCCACAGCTCTACTCCCAGCTTTTCTTTTGGGGGGGGGTCTGGTCGTGGGGCCTGAACTCTGGGCCTGGGCGCTGTCCCTCAGCTCTTCAGCTCAAGGCTAG